GACTGCCGGGTTGCCATGGATACACTGTTCTATCCACAATACCAGATTTTCCTAATACTTAAGGACCTAAGTAACAATAGTAAAACAACGTTCATTCTATTAAGACTGTAATTATTCACAAGTTGCACGTATTCAGAATTTGCAAATTCAAAAAGTGACACAGTAAACAAGATCCAAACACAGATTAAGATACATGGGGCGGGGAAAGGACTCTAAGTATTGAATACAAGTTAATAATGAAAACTGTTTTGGGTCTTATTGAATAAGCTAAGAGCTAAAATAGAATCCTGGCAGAGACAAGGCTTTCTGTTTTTACTCAAATTATCACATTTTCCCCCTCAAGGGGTCAATTTGCTGTTCATGAAAGGGCAAGATTGAGTAGGCAGTATGACTGTTTTTAACAACACCACTGTTAATGAACGTCAGAATTCCGGAAACTGGGTTAAAATGTGAAATGGTTGGGACCACTGAAAGACAAACTTTTACTTGTGGTCTGAGACTGTTTCACAGACAGGACTGTAATACACTAACATAATTAACAATATACTCTTGCTGGAGCACAACGGCATGGCTATAAGAAAAAACCGAATCAAACACCTCGTCTATCACCATCTCTTAATAACTAATCTGTAAAAAGGAAATGCATGAACAGAAAAGATATACTTTAACATGTGTCATGTAGCTGTCATTAACTCTTGATAATATAAGGCAGCCTCAAACTGTGAACTCGAACATTATCGGCCTTAGAACCGCCTGGACCACTGGCTAAAACGCAGATTGCTGGGCCATTCCCCAGATGTACCAAATCTGAGTCCCTGGGTGTAGGTCCCAGGAATCTGAGTTTTACACAACCCTCCACAGGATTCTTTTGTACAGAAAAACCTTAAAGATTCTGGAGCTACAGATTTTTAGCTTTCTGCTTTTTGCTCACTGTACATTAGTACCTTTATGAGAAGACAAACAATGTAATAAAAGAAAATGCACCATGGTCTCTACATTGTTGAATACAAACCTCAGTCATAAACCCTTACTTGATTTCTTTCTCAGAGGAACACAAGAAATTTTTCCTGGCCCTGGATGTACCTAAGATTCCCATTGTTAGTCTCTCTAATTCTTTTCCCCTAAACACACTAAATATTGACATTTTCCCTTTGCAGTCCATTCATATACTGGTTTACTATCGTTCACTATGCCCTTTGTGTGTACGTTATTTATATACTGGTTTATTAGTACTGTCTTAAATAATATGCTTTAAGACTTTTACAACACATACAACATAACAACATGTTTTAATATGAATATCTAACACAGGACATGAAGATATTCAGCTCCATGGTTAATAAACGCTTTTTTGATGACTTTTTAAATTCTCATTTCTGTATTACCCCTTATCATGTGGTAACTGTAATATGGAAAGTAGCAGGTTGCCATAATGACCATAACTCTAGATCTCAATGGGATGGTTTTGTTCTCAAAGAGCAGCCTTTTCAATCACCAAGCAAGTACCAGAGAAATGAAAATAAAGTTTTCTTTCAATAGTATACTGGTTGGCTTTCTGAGACTACAGCTCATTTAGAAAATCAAAACTAAATGTCATATAATCTAACAGTAGATACGCTTTCTTACTGATCTTGAAAAGCAGTTAATTACTTAAGAAACGTTCCTGGTTTTTAAATGAATTCCAAAAAACTTGTGCTCCTTTAATTGACTTTTTCTTAACAGAGGCCATTCTCTGTTGATATGTAGGAACCATTTTCTGCTATGTATTCAATTAAAATGTCTACTTTACACTATTACACACTTCTACATATTAATGAAGATTCCCTTTTTCTTAGATAATTCTTATATTAACTATTTTTTAACTTGGCATTTAATGTAAAACTTATTCAAATTTTAAGAGTAGTGGGAATAAATTATTCCAAAATTAAGACAGTGGAAACTTTATTCATTGAATGGTCAGAAAGAATACTCTGATGCTTATTGAAAAGTCCTCTCAGAAATAAAAGATCCTGAAAAATTAAATAGAAGATAGCCTAGCCAAGAATAATTTGTTGTACTGAAATTTTTAATATCTTAAAATACTAATATTCAAAATGCTTTTCACACTTGTTTTTTTTTTAAAGTAATCTTAAATCAATTACCATTAATAAATACAAGAATGGCTTTGGTCCTAGTCTTCATCAACTCAAAAAGCAACTATCACAGAAGAATAAAGGAGTCACTCAAAAAGTTCACAGGGATTTCAATTTTGTTATTGGCAATTAAATAAGTTTAGATATATAAACTCATTAATTCCAGAGGATAATATGATACCGAACACCACAGTTAACAACATGAGTACAACTCAATAAACTGATAAACTGCTCATTTCTGTTATTATAATGTAAACAGTAATTACTATTTCATTTTAAATGACATGAAGAAAGGCATTGGTACAGTTGTTACTAACAATTCATTTTTGTTTTAATTGTTACTGAATATAAAAGAATGACAAAAAATGTTACATATGCAGGATGAGAATTTTTAACAATTTCTGTATGAAAAATACAAGTAACCCAGGTGTTTATTACCTAGAAGCTTTCTGAAATTTAGAACATTAATACAGCCATACTTTTAAGTATGAGAGCAAATGCAAATATTTTCAATTATATCTAATGAGACTTGTGAGGCAAATTAAGACAGCACAACCTAATCTTAATTATAGATAGGCATGTTTTTCACTTTTGACTCTGTAGTAACTTGGGCTCCTCCCCCAAGTTACAGAGCCAAACACCAGCTGGATTAGAGAAGTGTCAAGACATTGCAGGTGTCTATGAGGACCATAAACATTAAGTTCGAGGGCAATCTCTGCATTCTAAAGCCAAATATAAACAGTTCTTAGTTGTGTGTCTCCCCTGCATTAGTACAGATAATTGAGAATTGACTATAATTTAATCACTTGAACAGGCATTAGGTTCCAAACCACCAAGACAGATTACAGGCAAATGACACTCTAATAAAAATTACAGAACTGTGCTAAGTGTCTTTCTTAGCCTATTTCCCAATAAGAAGGGAGCTTTTATATTAGCTGGCTTTGAGAGGGTAGTTTGGCTGTTTCCTTCTAAGAAACAAAAATCTGGAAAGCTGCCATTGCTTTCAGAAAAGTTAACACACATAAAACAAAACAAAAAATAAATCAGAAGTTCCAACATAAACAAGGGTTACCATATGTCTTTCTGTACATCACAGAATTACATTACAGAATTACAGAACTGAAGTATTGGTGGATACTAGATGTACCAGGTAAAATTGCAGATTGTATAAGCTAAAAGTTACAGTTGACATATGACATTTTGGTGTTTTAAGAATTTCAATAATTCAAAATATCCATAAAGAAAACAAAGAACTTCTGCTAGAGAAAATCACCCAGGAAAGTAAAAAGAAGTATTTAAAGCAGAAAACAATTAAATCAGGAAAACTCAGAACCAAAATATTTTCATTGAAAAGCCTTCTGTTCACTTTTTCCCCTACTGAACAACAATAACTGATAAGTTGTATTTGCATGGTGGCACCAGAACAATGACTTAATACCCATTTTATTATTTTGTCATCACCCTACGTGAGATAGATAGAGCTTGTCAGAAATTAAGAAATGGAAGCATCAGACCTCTTAAATTACAACTTAACTAAGGACCTTTCTCTAAAAACAAAACAAAAACCAAAAAAATAGGGTAAATTTGTTTTTTGATTAGCACATGCAGTTTTCATTCTGTCACAATTAGTAGATGACATTAGGCAACTACAAATAATGGCAGATCAAGACTTGAACTCAGCTCTTCTGAGGCCAAGACCAATGTTGTTCCACAGATAAGACAGAATGTCATTTCAATACCCCTTCTTTTCCTTGCCACCCCTTTCTAAACAGATGAAGACCTTAAAGCCCACAAGAAGTTATAACTTGTCTCAAATTACTAAGCCCAATAATGGCAGAGATAAATCTAAAATTCAGATAATATAAGGGGGCTCTCTTACCCCTGTATTAATTTGAAAAAAATTTTTTAAAGATTTTATTTTTAAGTAATCTCTACACCCAATGTAGGGCTCAAACTTACAACCCTGAGATCAACAGCTGCATGCATGCTCTAGCAACTGAGCCAGCCAGGCACCCACCAAAAAAAGTTTTTTTTCAAAAAAATTTTAAGGTCTGAAGGCATTCTTTTTGATTTTAAATTTATTTTCCATGTACATGGATAAAGGCAGAAGTATGCCACTGGCAGTGGAATGGCAGAGGAAATAAAGATGGAATTGAAGAATTCCTTGAAGCTCACAGAAGACTAAGTTACAAATGCATGCTTGTTTAAGGGGATCATTTTTGTCTTTACTTTCATTTCAGCCACTGGCAACATATAAGATCACAAAGAGGGCAACCATATTAATCACATTTTCTGCTACCTTTAAGGACAAATGACTTGGATCTCATGCTTTAAATGCTCGGTAGTGAAGATATATTTGGTCTAAGAAATAGAAGCTGCATTTGGCCCTATGCTGGTTTTCTAGTAGCTCCTTATAACTGGGAGCAGTCTCAAGGGAGCTGTAAAAAGGAACTCTGTATATGGTACCCAAACTTCCTCCTTCAAATAAAAAAGTCCAACTGCACTACTGTATAAAACAGTTCTTCCTGGAAATCCACTGAATCTGGTGAAATAGGATAAATTCTCAACCATAGCTCACAAACAGTACCTTTACAAATCACCAAGCTATTATAAAATACCAGTACACTGTCTGTCCTTCAGGACAGTCCATGCTAGTGTCCATGTAAAGGATTGCATAAATAGGGAAGAGAGCCTTAACACAAACCAATCAATCAAATATCTCATCAGGAACAAAGGGAGGGGGGCAGATACAGGTTTTAGGGTTATTGTTTTGAAGGAAAACTGTGAAGTAAAAACTATGTATTTATACGTATCTCTTATACATATATACACACAAGTTATCTCCACATCACATGTTGGTGAACCTACCTGTGTATATTATCTTGGCCAGAAGGGACTACACCTACATTGGCTACATTTACAACCTTCTGAAGGATCACGGAGGGAGTGAAATTCTGTGGTGCAGCAATAATTACAGTAGAAGTTTCATTCATTCCTGTTAGCATTCCTGTAAGAGCAAAAGAAGGCTCCCTTTTACTAATTTATGAAAATTACATTAAAACAATTTCAAGTTCATAGCCAAAATTTAAAAACTTTTTTCATATAAAAACTCCATTCCAGAATAAAATTTTCAGGATAATTATCATAGAATTAAAATAACTGCAAATGTTACAAAAATTTTTAAATCCTTACTGTGTAGGAAAATGTGTAAAAATGCCGTGGAACATAACTCTTAATAAATCTGATTTTCAATACTATAAGATAAACATGTAGAATCACAAAGATTCTATTTAATTTCGGTCCCTTTAAAATATACTCATTTGGACTACATCAACTATTTATGCTTTTACTTGTTAATATTTTTTTTCCTCTCCTTTTCACTCAGAGATCTCTCTTGTCAAATGCTGCCTAAGAACAAGTCAAAGTGAGCTGATATAACCAGCAACATTACCTGATGAATGGCCTCAACTGATGGATCAAAATTATCTTAGCAATGACTGAAAGTCACTGAACAGTTACGGGGTTCTACAAAATGCACAAGTATCTAAGTAGCTATATTATATTTATACCTAAATATAATTGTATTTGTCTAGTGAATGGGACTATACAGTTAATTATAAAAACACCAACTGAAATTTCTGAAGCAAAACATTTGGAAACAAAAGGGAAAAATGTGAATGGGAAAACCTTAAATTCCAGAGACATTTTAAAGAAATACTTAGGAAAAAAATAAAGTTAAGCAAAATCATGAACAAAAACCATACAGTTAACAAATTCAGTAACATGCCAAACCCTTGGAACAAATACTGAAATTTAGTACCGAGGTTAAAAAAACCCAAAATAATTATAATAAATGGCATCTTCCTGGATCTGTTATATAAGTCATCGACATCTAGTGGTATCTAGTAGAAATGATAATCTTTTGAGACGTTTGATATGTGCACAATAGTTTACAAAATTTATGAAAATGGTTGAATTTGATTTTACGTTTTCAAAAGGCCCTGAACCTTCAGGGCTATGTACTTAATTTAGTTATTTATTGCAAATGCAACCTGAAATTTGAAAGAACCTCTATGATTAGCAGCACAAAGATTGGAAAACCCAATACTGTAAGAAGACTTGGCTAGCTTTTAACAAAGAGCAGGTTTTACCAACCACTTTCAAACTATGTTCTGTCTCAGACTGGTTAACTTCAGTATTAGGCAAAAGCTTTAAGAACTACACAAGCAGTCAAACACTGCTTTTAAGTAAAGCACAGTGGCTGCTGACATAACACTGCTGAGAGATGTGTGTACTCATTTAGGATTTAAACCTTCTCCATTAAGCTCTATTGAAGAGCAACTGCTGAATAAATGAATGCAACTATGTTTATGTTAAAAGCCTGTTTCCCGCAGCATGTAATTAAAGGAAATGTTGTACAAAGCCAGTACTTTTGTCAAGCTCCTGTAAATGGAAAGATGGATAGCACTCAGAGAAGTGAATGTATTGCTTCATATTTAACCTTAACACTCTTGTCATTAATGGTTTGTCTAACTTGGTCTATAAAAGACAAGGTACTGCTCCATTGAAGTAAAATTTAAAAAATCAACTAAACCATGCTTTTCAGAACAGAAGATTCATTATCGTCAGCTAATGTATTGGCATAAAGCAAAGTAACATCCTATCAAGTAAGGCACACATTCAATCTGCCTTCCCACCCCCCTTTATTTTTAACTCATGCTGTTTTATTGTTATAGGCAATTTGTACCACTCAGCATGACAGTGTAAACTGAATCAAGATTAATTTACATGCAAAAGAACACTTAGGAGAGCAGCATGGTAAGCAAATGTATTGTCTCGATTGCTGAGGTGGAAAAAGAACCTGGAAAGAAAAAAAGGTGCTCTAATTAAGGGGCATCAAATATGATTGCTTGTGGTAGTTAAGGGCCAGAAAATAGTAAATGTCTGACCATTTAAAGAATTAGCATCTTGCTAGCTAGGAAACCGTAAGATGGATGCATAAATCATAATAAAATTAAGTAAACATTCTAGGTTTCTTAAATCAGAGATTTTTCTAAATGAAAATATATCAGGAATTCCCAAATTAACGAGAAAGAAAAATATGCCAAGGTATCATTAAAAGTTTTTCCTACAAAAAAACAGACTTTAGATACCATATAGGCTGCTCACACATAATAAAGGTAAAGTTACCAGGAAAATATTTTGAAATTGTCTGACTATAGAATTTGTTGCTTCACTAGAATTTATCTAAATTTTAGAGAGGCAGGGGGACAGAATACTTAACTTAGGTTAATTAGCTGTACTTAACTGCTAAAATGTAAATCAAATAATATAAGAAAATAAAATTAAAAATTTCTAAGTTTTAGATTTCTAATTTAACTAAGAAGAAAACGAGTAAGAGGAGGCAGTTTGGAATAAACAGTTGGCTTACATCTCTTATAATAATTAAAACTGCCTTAAGAAACCGAATTTTTTTGAGAGGATCTCATATTATTTACAGTACCAAAATAATTCTACAGCTAGATCATTAACTAATTCTGCAATGCTCAAAACTCAATGAAAAAAATTCTGCTCTGGTTTAAAATTCGTAATATGAATATTATAGGTAACTTCACTATCTAGGATAAACCAGTCTTTCTTTTAACACTGTGACCACCAACCTTATAAACATGTGTGTTTAGCTATGGAACTCTAAAAACAACAATCGAGAAAAAATGATAGATCAGGCTGCTATCAGAAATAAAACCCTTTTCACTTTAAAATAAGTTAATATGCACAATGTGTTAGATGCACTCTTATTTAATACTGTACAAACTTTTAATTATGTACATCTTTAGTATAAAAATAAAATATTCCTTATTTTTATTTATGATTTTTCCAGTTAAATCCTAATTAATGCATTTAATGCATTTCTTGAACCTTAAAATATATGCCCTGTGAAATGAGGTATTACGTGTCTCGGTTCATTTTATTTAAAGTAGAAAAATTATGTAATGTATGCATGCAATGACACACACAGGTGCTTCTTAAATTTATTGGTATTTTACCATCCAGAAGTTTGCAATGATAAAATCTGAGGAAACGGATGTTTAAGATTTTCAGTTAGTGAGTCCTTTCTAGGTATCATTTGTTGAAATAAGCTAAGCTCTTCCTAGAGTAGTATAAAAACAAATACATGTGTAAAATTCAGAATTGAGACCTCGATTACCAAACCAGCTGAAATCTATAACTAAAAAGATGCTATTGAAAAGACTCTTTAAAGCTGTGGTAAATTTGCCAGCATCAAGTCCCATATCAAAGAATGAATTCAGGAAGACAGAAAGAATGATACAGAAATGCCAAGAGACTTGCAAGGATTTACAAATACTTCATATAAACAAATTTTCAAATAGCTTTATTCAGAGTAGCCTTTCTGCTCTATTAAACATAGCAAACAGCTGCCAGATTTATTCAGACAAATAATCAACAACCATTGAAGTAAAATGGCAGAAGAAAAAGGAATTTTGGCAACAACTCCACAGAGGACCACAGCCGCTGTGCAAGTGCACCTCTCTCGTGCGCTCATGGTTCTGTATGGCTAGTCAGGGAAAAAATCCCTCAGTCACAGCAGAGCACAAAACACTTAATCGAAATATCAAGTATTCTAAACCAAAGCTGAGGGATAGAAAAGGTGTATGATAATCTGCTGCTTTAACTGCACTTTTCAAAAAAAGAATATCCCCTTAACAATAAATGTGCCAAAGCCTTATTCGTCACTTATGTGCCACTCACCTGGGTTTGCTGAGCAGGTGTAAAGCAGAGAGGCAGGCTTTAGCCAGCAAAGGGTAAGAATAGCAAATGTAAGCATCAATTCGTCAATAGAAAAATAAAATCATAAAATCACAAAGATGATTTTCTTCTATAGCAATAATCAACTTCCAAGAAAAGCAAATGCAAAGAGGGATTTAGTCATTCTTTTTATCACTTAAAAATAAGGCAGAAAATAAAAGATCACTATTAATTTACAGTCTTGTATGAAATTTTCTTTGTGAGATTCTTCTACAACAGGTCTTTGGAACACTGTGGATTGCAATGGCTTACAGAAAAAGAAAAAGAAAAAAGAAAAAAAAAGATCTTTGGCACTATAATGATGGAGTGCCAAGAAGCATGTGTCTCTCCTTAGGTATAGATATTTGTATGTGCCCAGTACTTTCTGGAAGCATGACAGATAGGATTTAACGACCTCAAGATGAAGGAATCTTTGTATGATAACCCCTCTAGACAGAAAAATAGCCTACCTTTACATAAACTTCAAAAAATTGCTGACTATACCATTTAAATATGCCCTAGTTTTATATTATCTTTAATTAAAGACATCAAGTCATAGTTATTTCCCCTTATTCATATAAGAAAATAAAATTTATTTTTATTAGTAGGTATGCTGGACTCTGGGGCAAGCACAACATATTAATACTTCCATTCTGCTGAAAATATTTTCTTTTTAGGTGCATATTTTAAAATATTTCAGCTCTGATACAGCCAGGCAACACAGCATTTCTTTACTATAGAATTAGGTCAATGCTAATAATTAGGGCTTTATCTCGAAGAGTGAGGCACTCTAATGTGTACAGGGAGAAATACACTAGTAGGACATGAAAAACAGTTCTATAGTGAAAGAAAATAACAGAGACATAACATTTATAGTGGTAGAACTTTGGTAAGTCTCAAATCCCTCACATTTTCACTAATACAAAATACATGAGTACATCATTAGGTTGACAAACCCACAACTCCCAGAAGTGAGAAGTTAATAAAGAATCAATGTATTATTTTAAAGACATATTAATCAATTTTCAAGTATGCCAGGAATGTAGACAAACATATACTTTTAAGGTTATTTTATAGAAGTAAAGGATTAGCAGAAACTGGAAGATTATTCACGGACATCTGTTAACGGCTATGTATATATGGTAATTTATTTTAGAGACCAGACAAAAAGAAGAATGAGCACATATTATTTGGGATGTCAATTTCTAGTAAATTGTAGTAATCTCTCACCTTGCTCTTTCTTAAAATCTTTCTCTGACATGGCCACAGGTAAAAGCAGTTCTCCAACAGGTGGCTGAATATTAACACTGAAGCAATCGTCCTTGGTACTAAGAGAAAAACATATCAAAGCTAACTAAATGCTTAATAAACAATCTCTTTAATACTACGCAGTTAAATGTAATTAAAGCATATGCCAGCATATACAGTATAAGATCTTGGCTTAACTAGCACAGCTAAAAAGGCTTAAAAATTTTTTCAACACTATTCAACTTTCACAGAGAAATACATCTGCTACATCAATTGGATAACAACTTTTTTTACAGAAATATGTAAATATATCATTTGATGTAGAACTTTAAAAAATAGGTAAGCATCAAGGGTACACATACCCATTACTACCAAAGGAATGCTTCGTGCAGCTTATAAAGATGTAATATTTTCTCTTTACTTTGTATGTTTAAAGGGTAGAAAATGGGGTGCTTTAGTCTTAAATGGTTAAGATCTCTTTTTAAAAATAATTAGTTTTTAGGGGCGCCTGGGTGGCTCAGTCGGTTAAGTGTCTGCCTTTGGCTCAGGTCATGATATCAGGGTCCTCGGATCGAGCCCCGTGTTGGGCTCTCTCCTCAGTGGGGAGTCTGCTTCTCCCTCTCCTGCTCCCCCTGCTTCTGCTCTTTCTCTCTCTCTGGAGAGAGAAACTAAATTTTAAAAAAGGAAAAATTAGTTTTTAGTAAAAATAAATGTAAAAAATAAAATGGAGTGACCATACTGTGTTTAGATATATGCTAAAAAACACCTCATCTGCAAACTTGCTCTTTTAAAACAAAAAGTCTCATTTTTTAGTAGTGTTTTTCATTAACATTATTGATCAGCATGTGGTAAAAGTTATTATTTCAAATGACAGGATATGAAGAATTTAGGAAGGGCAACGTTGTACCCATATCAGATAGAATAATAATACTGAGTGCATTTATTTTTAGTACAGACATTACTCTCTAAAGAATTATTAAAATTTCTTTAAAAATTTTTTTATTTCTATTCCTTCTTATCAGGAAAGATTCTGTCCCCAAAAGGACTTCTACTTTCATGTTAGAACTGCATTTCATGGCCAGTGGGAAGGTGGACAGGGAGATGGGGACTGTAGATAAAAAAAAATAATAAACATGAGGTTAAGAAACACTTCATAAAAAGAAAAAAAGAAAATCCATGTTTATGCTATTATAGAATGTATTCTTATAAGCTGCCTTTTATTTTTTTATGGAACAAGGCAAAGACCAGACTAAAAAAAAAAAAAAAAAAGAATGTTTTGAATTATTCACATGTGGATTGTCTAAGGCAAACCAACAAATCCAATTTATTTATTAATTCAATATACATTTACTGAATACAAACTAGATCCCATGTACTATGCAAATACCTGGGGACTGATTTAAAGACAAGTGAGACTGACCCTAAACAAAAGCTTACAAGTCAGTGAGAGAGGAAGAGTTCAATTACATTTATAAAATGGTAAATGCTACATTAGAGGTATGTGGAGAGTATTATAGTCCACAGAAGAGGGACTGATTAATTCTGCAAAGTAAGGTAAACATACATTTCCAACAGGAGGGAGAAGGGCATTCCAGGTATTCTAGACCTCTGTTTTGGGAATGGTGAACAGTGTGGTATGCCAACAGATGAGGCTGGGGGCACACTGTAAAGAATACCATCTACATTCATGACCATTCATCCCCCTTCTCCCAGGACAGTCCCAGTTTGTGGTTGTTGTCCTGAAATCCTGTTCAGTTAAGGTCTCCCTTCACTCTCTCAAGTGTCCTGATTTGTATGACAAAGTGTATGATTACTTCACGCATATAACTAAGACAAATGTGTTTCAATGTTTCATGAACAAATAAGGAAAACTACCAGAGACTTTCCACAGGGGAATATAAATGATCCCACTGTATTTCAAAAACTCTGGTGGCAGTGTGTAAGATGGAAGAGAGGAGAAACCAAGGCAGTAGATTAGTTAGGAATCTAATTTAAGAGTCTAGGCAGGGGTTTTTACATTGTGTGTTTTACTTTAGTAATTCCTAACAATGATCCTGAGATAGCTTCTGTTACCTCCCAACTTTTTGATGAGAAGTTAAACAACACATCCAAGGTCACACAGCTAGTTAAGTGGCAGTACTGGGATCTGAACTCAGGTCTATCCTACTCCAAAGTCTGCTATATGATGCTGCTTTAGATCTATTTTTTTATTCTGCTCTATAGGGCTGCACTCCTAGGGTAGGTAGCACTGAGGACAGGGGAGATGGTGGTATTTTAGAATTAAAAGGGATAGATATGGCGATGAATGGAAGGGACTCTGAAACTTGTAATGTGAAAAACTGGGAGAATGAAAACTAGGGAAGTAGAGTTTTGGGAATTAAACAAAATGATTTGACTTTAATCATGTTATATTTTGAGAACCACTGAACTATCCAGGAAGAGATATTTAGCAGATAATTGGAAATACAAATCAAGAATCAGAAAAGAGGTCAGGGCAGTATATATGAGTTTGGGAGTAATCAAAATGGTAAAGGGAAGAGCTGAAGCCTTACAAAGAGATAAGATCACAGAGGAAAAGATGATATACCAAGAGAAAGGATAAGGTGGAAACCTGGGGAGGACCTACATTTAAGTAGAAATGGAAGAACTGCAACTTGCAGAAGAAACTGGCAAAAAGTGGTCAGGGAGAAAATGTATCAAATAATGCAAAGAGGAATAAAAAGCAGCAAGTGTGACTGCAGACCTAAGCAAGGCAGTTCAGATGGAAAGAAGAATGCACAACGCCATTGAGTTGAAGGGTGACTGGGAAGACTGAGAGATGGGACAGAAAGCAGTGGAAGCTTCATGAGGATGCAGAGGCAAAAGAGTGCTGAGTGAAACCTGAGCATGTTCATGGGCTGAGGGCAAAGAGCCAGTGGAGACAAAGAAACTATGGAATACCTGATAGAGCAAGGCCTTAGAGGAGATAAATAAGGTTGGGATTAATTGCACAAGAACAAGGTGAACCTGTCAGCCAGCAGGATGCTTCTTCTCAAAGCAGCAGAGAAGTGGTTAAGACTGCGAGAAGTATTGAGGGTGGATGAGACCACACCTGATGTAGTGGAAGGCTAAGTCATATTGGAAGAAATATGTAAAGGCTGAGGGAGTAAATGGATAGGTGTGTGTGTTTATACACACAAACACACACACATAATTTATATATACAATTTATATATAATATATATAAATATGTAATATAGATGAGCTATATGGCATATATAATATATATAAATATATTTATACATGTAGGGAGGGCATAGTAGAAATATTTTACTAACAGAGGAATACAATTAAAACCGGATCACTGGGTGAAATTATATTTATTATACTATCGTTATTTTCTTTTTTTTTAAGGATTTTTATTTATTTATTTGACAGAGAGAGACACCTGAGAGAGGGAACACAAGCAGGGAGAGTGGGAGAGGGAGAAGGAGGCTTCCCGCTGAGCAGGGAGCCCGATGCGGGGCTCGATCCCAGGACCCCAGGATCATGACCTGAGCCAAAGGCAGACGCTTAATGACTGAGCCACCCAGGCGCCCCTGTATTTTCTTTTTAATTACAGATGAAATGGTTCCTCCCAACAGTCCTGAAGGATAACATTTATGCCACTGATTAAAGGTAGCTGTATAGGGCGCCTGTCAGTCAGTCAAGCGTCCGCCTTCAGCTCAGGTCGTGAGCTCAGGGTCCATCAGGCTCCCTACTCAGCGGGGAGTCTGCTTCTCCCTCTTCCTCTGCCTCCTCCCCACTACCCTGCTCATGATCTCTTGATTTCTGTCTCCCTCAAATAAATAAATAAAATCTTAAAACAAAACAAAACAAAACAAAGGTAGCTGTACAGGGAGAAGGCTGGGAGAGAAGGGAAAGAGGGAAAGATTCTCCTCTAAAGCATATATGAAAATGGAGGTGGGTAAGCAGCAGGTTTAAGTTTGGGGGGAAAAAGTGATCCTGAAATATCCCCACTAGAAATTTGCAATATATATGTGACTCGACTGGGTATGTTCTGCTTTTGGCTAATGATATCTTATTTTCTGTAGTTGGTAAAATGGTTAATGTTATGTATGAAAAACTAAGAACAGAAGTTCATCCAAAACAGGTCTTAGGAGGCAAATTTAAATAAAATTGGAACACTGTTGTGGCAGATACTACTTATTGCTTATTCAGTATTTTTTTTCTTCCTTCCTGACATAGTCCTGACTTTGTTCAGGCAGACAAGGTACCCAACTGAAACACTGTTTCTCTCAGCCTCTCTCGTGGCTAGGAGTGATCAAGTAACCCAGTTACAACCAATGAAACATAAACAGAAGTCGGCGGGGGATTTCTGGAAAAGTTTGGCTTTTCCAACACAGACATGGCTCCTCTCTCCATGTCACTTTGTTTTTTTCCTTTTTTTTAGCCTGGAATGCGGATAGAAGCCTGAGTAGAACAGCCATATTATGATCATGAGGACTGGCAGGCACATGCTAATGAAATTAGCACATGAATCCCCCCCCCCCCCCCCCCCCCCCCTCAGAAACCTGCTGGAAAGACCCAGAAGACATTGTGGAGCTACTTCAGCAGATCTTAACTGCTGACCTCTGTTCCTGTACTTGCAGAATAATAAACCCCATTTGGTTAAGAGACCCCCATTTGGGTTCTGTTACACACAAGTGAATGCAAAATTTAGTGACTATACCTAGCATTTAACATACTTCATAAGCCCGTTTTAGCTTCTAAGCAAGGTTTGGCTTAGAATGGAGTAAGGTGGAATGTTCCCTCTTTATTTTGGGGAAAGTTTACTTTCATTTATATTTTTATTAGTGTTCATTTATATTAGTGTTCTAGGATGTCCTCCATAGTTTTCTATGTGCCTCCTTTTCTACCATTTTGCCCTTTTCTTTAAAACAGTTTAGAATGACTTTTATTTATTTTATTATGTTATGTTAATCACCATACATTACATCATTAGTTTTTGATGTAGTGTTCCATGACTCATTGTTTGCGTATAACACCCAGTGCTCCACGCAGAACGTGCCCTCCTTAATACCCGTCACCAGGATAACCC